CAGGGCTGGCCCCCACCCGCATTATTTGCCCGCAAAATTTTTATCTTGTGCTGTTTGTGCCAAAAATGTGTTCGCTTTGGGTTTCACAAGCAGTCCATGAAGTCAGAGGGAATAAGGATGCAATGGATTCAGAGTTTTTTCACAAAAGCATTAATTTCTAGCCTTATTCTATCACCATTAACTGTTTCTCACAGGGGAATAAACCTATTTTGGGGTATTCTGCTTAACTCCCACCTCCACCCCGAGGAGTGCAGCTGGGGATGGGGGGTACCCCCAGCCCTGGGAATGACCCACCCGTTCCCACCCTCCCCGGAGCTGTCGGTACCTCTTGCTGTAGGTAACACCCGCAACCTTCTGCGTGGGGCAGCCGAGGAAGAGGAGGGGGAAAGCCAGGAGCAGGCAGAGGAACATGCCGAGGACGCACATGGCACTGCATTGCCTCAAGGACATCTGGAACCTCTTCATGATGGCACCACCCACCACGATGCCGACCATGGCCCCAGGGATGTTCACAGCACCTGGGGAAAGGCAGGTCCTGGACCATATTTTCCATCCTCCGAGCTGCATCGGTCCCTTCGATGGGTCCCATCAGCCCAGAGGATTTGTTGTTGGGTTCCTATTTTTCAGCTTCGGTGATGTGGAGGGGACCAAGGTTTTTGCAGGGACTGGTGGAATAATGCTAAGAAAGAAGTTTTGCAAAAGCAGCAGGATCCCTGGGTGTCTTTACATACCCATGCCTGGAAGATGTAGAGACCAACAAAAAGCTCTGCTTCACCCAGCAAATGGGATTTTTCAGTGTAGACAGGAGAAAATATCAAGTAAATCTGGAGACAATATTTAATTTCTCTGTAATGCACCCAGCTTTTGTTGTCCCCATTGTAAACCGTGAAGGTTTCACAGAAATTTGCAAAAGCCACCTTTACAACAGGATGCCAAAGCACAGATACAGAAGTGCAGCCTCGTTAATTCAGCAAAGAATCAACAGGGAGGTTGCTTTCAGCCTGTAAATACCCACACAAGGAAGGGATTTCCAGCTACAGAAAGCTTTTTGATCTAACAGAAAAAGGCAAGGCAAGATTCAGTAGCCAGGAACAAAAGCTAGATAAATTCATCCAAGAAATACGGCACACGTCGTTAACAGAGCAGGTAAATCAAGCCTGGGAACAACGCAGCGGGGACATCAGTGGAGGACACCACTGCTTCAGCATTTACCATTTCTGATGGTATTTATCCTGGGTTGCTGGGCTTTGCCAGTCTGCTCTGCTCAATTTCTTATGATTTATTTGTTGCAGGCTTCAGAAGGCTCTTTCTCTGAGGATGCACGCTCTTTGTTCAAAAATGTATTTTAAATACTTCTGTGTCTGGATCTCCAAACTCTCCAACTGATTTATTCTTTATATTTTTATTACATTGAAAAGATTGCACAGGGAGACCCCATCCTCAGACAGGACATTCTGGATATTACAACGCAAGCAAAAGCGGTCTAATCTCACGAGCACACATCCTGCCTAACGTTTATTCCTTTCTTTCATAACAATACCAACAGTAAGTAATTAGCCCAACCATTACAAGCAATTAGTCTAACTATAGGAAACAATTTTGAAGGGTTTAGACACAGCAAACTGGCTTAGCATCACAGGAGGGTTTGGGCTGGAAGGGACCTTAAAGCCCACCCAGTGCCACCCCCTGCCATGGGCAGGGACACCTCCCACTAGCCCAGGTTGCCCAAAGCCTCATCCAGCCTGGCCTTGAACCCCTCCAGGGATGGGGCATCCACAGCTTCTCTGGCCAACCTGGGCCACTGCCTCACCCCCCGCACAGGAAAACATTTCCTCCTAATGTCTCACCTCAATCTCCCCTCTTGCAGTTTATAACCATTACCCCTTGTCCTCTCACTGCACTCTCTGATAAAGAGTGTTTCTCTTGCCACAAAGTGTCTTCGAAATGCAAGCACACATTACTGCAGTTTAAAAAAGCAGATAGTAAATAAAATGTAAAAGACCCTTAACCCAATGATCAATGTCATCCCTGCTACAGAAACGTGCACGATTCATAACTGATGTTTCTTTGCATCAATTGCAACTCAATTATTGCATTGAGTTCGTCTCCTCTCCTTGGTCATAGTGAGCAGCTTTAGATGAACATTTCTCCAGGTCTTAAAGGGTTTTATTCTCACAAGCTCAGGCTGTGATGTAAAGGAAGGAAGGCAGATAGCAGCTGAGAAATGGTATGGGCAAGGACCCGGTGGACATCTATCTGTAGGTAATGGAAGGAGAGGAGCTCCAGAGGGAAAGGTGCTTCTTAGTAATCTCTAGATTATCTTCTAAGAGGTGCTCGAAAGCTGGCAAGCCTCGACAGCGACACTTACCGATGATCATGTTGGCCAAGGACGCCGTCAGGGAGAACTGTCTCTCCAGGAACTTCCCCATGAACGTTGCTAAACCAGCCACCATGGCGGAGAGGTTGACCTGAGCCAACACCACCAGCAGGTAGACGGGATGACGCAGGTTCCTCAACAGGACCAGAGGGAAATCTGAAAGGAAAAGGGGAAAACCTGTTGCAGAGAGGGGAGGTGTACAGCAAAATATTAAACCATGGAAAGTGGCAAAGCTTTGGTTTTTCCTTTTTTTTTGTGCAGAATTAACTCTTGAGGAGTGCTGAGCTCTTCTGAACATTTTGTTTACAAAAAGGAGGAATGCGTCCTTTTGGGGCTTGTTATTTGAGGCTTGGGTATGTGACCATTTGGAGCTTAAAAAGTCAGGATGAAGCATCAGGGGATTCCAAAAATTAAACAAATGAACACTGAGGTTTGTTGCAAATAAAGTAGACTTCATCTTGGCTAACAGCAGCCATCTAATGACAGATATCTTAACTAAGTTGACCAGGGAGAGAGAGGGAAGCTGGCAACCCTCATCCCACCTGCCTCAGGAATCAGCCATGGGATGGTGAATCAATGGCAGAAGCAAGTTGCTGCAAAAGACGAAGCAAAAAAAAAAAAGTGTTTTCAGTGTGAAGACTGTCCAGCCTCAAAGTGAACCTGAGAGGAGAGCAACTCCTCCGTGGACACATCCCATCCCTGCAGAGCTCACCTCTGTACCTGGTAATCCTTTTGGTTTGCTGCTAGGGTTGGTCATGCTGAATTTCTGGTGAAGCCCATGAAGTTGAGATTGGGAACTGCCCTAAACACCCAGCAGGCAGCGTACAAAGTGTCTGTGCCAGCGCAATGGGAAACTGTTGGTGGCGTTGGCATCAGTGGAATGGAGGAAAAAAGGAGGAATGGAGGAAAAAAGGAATGGAACATTTTCAGTTGAAAAGGACCTACAACGATCATCCAGTCCAACTGCCTGACCACTTCAGGGATAACCAGAAGCCAAAGCATGTCGTTAAGAGCATTGTCCAAGTGCCTCAAACACTGATGGTCTTGGGGCACCGACCACCTCTCCAGGAAGCCTGTTCCAGCGTTTGACCACCCTCTTGGTAAAGAAATGCTTCCGAAGGAAACTCTAAATGAAGCATCTTCACCCAAGAAGATTGACATCTCCCATCAACACTTGAGTGTTCGAGAAACCTCAAACACCTGCTAGAGGACAAATCCGCCGCCTTCTGCAGCAATACCTCCCGCCGAGCTCTTACTCAGAGCTGCCAAGGTCTTGCGATGCCTCAGGAGAAAGGCAAGCGGCTCTGAGATGGTTTTTCAGCCTCACCTGAACCTCTGTAAATAATGTCTCTATCTCCTGCCTTCAATGGGTGGGCTGTACCAGGATGGCTGAGAGCAATGTGGAAACCTTCGCGTCTGTCCCCCATCACCGGTGGGCTGAGGGCTGCAGCGCTGAGCAATTACAGGGGCTGCTACAAACACCCATGGCCCAAGTAAACACGGCCTCAGCTCCTTTCCCTGGAGCCTTCTGGCACGGCTTCTGCTAAAACAAATATGCAAGTAGCTGGGAAGTCATTAAAAGTTAATTTATTTTATTTGCTGCAGTTGCAATTTCAATGTCTTTTTTGTTTCAATCATAAAAATGTATTTTTTTTTTATTACAAGCAAGAAACGCTCCAGCGAGTTCCCCTGTGGCCGAACCCTTACTACTCAAGAAAAATAGATCATCTTCAGCGTGCTCAGCAAAGAGCCACCCCGCTCCCAGTGCTGCAGGGATCGGGATGCTCCAGCTGGGAGGCTGCAGTTCTCCAGCCTGGAGTGACTGTTCCTTCGTGCACATCCCAAACCCACTTTTTGCTCATCCTGAACCATGGCTTTCCCCCGTGCTCTTCATCCGTCCTTGCAGCACACAAGCAAAGGGTGTGCGGAAGGGCAACTTCCACACAAACAGATGATGAGTTTCCCAGATGAGGGCTCGGAAATGCAATATGCTGAAGCAGAGATAAGGAATTAACAGGGAGGATTAATGCAAGGGCCGGCCATAAATTAATGGTGTTAATTCTTAGCAGCTCACAAACAATTGGGACAATCTTTATATCTGCTCCAGCACAGAGGCACTGGGAGGCCGCAGTGGGGAGAACTGTCTGGTCCCTGTTGCACCAAGCTGTGTATTTGTTTTAGCTGTCATCAAAAGTGATGTGAAGAGCAAAGGTTCCTCCACGGCTGCAAGGAGGTCCCCCCATACATGAAGACAAAGCTCTCATCCGTGGGAAGATTGACTCTCCAGCTCAGCAAGCAGCTGAAGATGTTGGGAAGCAGCAAAGTCAGGGCACTAGAGAGGGTCTGAGCGTGCAAGGTAGGTGCAAGGACCCTGAAATACTGACACGCTGGAGAGCTGGGAGGCGAAAAATCAACCCGAGAGGGAATGAGCTGCCATGATGCTAGACCAAGGTGACACCCAAAGAAGGGAGGTGGTTTTGCTGTTAAGTATTGATAAACGTCTCACTTTTTGAAGTATATTCCAGCCTGGTTACATACTGGAATATCTCAGACATATTTAGATTTGATTTTAGGAAGAAATATTTTCCTGGGTGGGGGGTGAGGCAGTGGCCCAGGGTGCCCAGAGAACCCTGGAGGGGTTCAAGGCCAGGCTGGATGAGGCTTTGGGCAACCTGGGCTAGTGGGAGGTGTCCCTGCCCACGGCAGGGGCTAGAACTGGATGATCTTGAAGGTCCCTTCCCATCCAAACCCTTCTGGGATTCTATGATATTGCAAACATGAAACCTCAACTCACTTGCTGAAAGATCTCCCAAGAGGTAACCCAGCCTTCTGTGGGAGTTAGTGGGAATCTTCCACCAAAAATATTTCTTTTCCCAAGAGTTCTTCAGTCTTTTTCAATCAAACTACACCTCCTCTGCCACCCCACATCAGAGCTATAAAGCTACGACAGCAAGCAGGTCTCCCACTGCATGGTGGGAGGCAGCAAGATTGCCATCCTCTGCAGTCACCAGCTCGTTATTAATGCCATCTTCCTTACAGCTCCGGAGAAGAAGCTGGACAGATACTAAAACCAAGTGGAAACTTTAAAATAATAATTAAAAAAAAAAAATCCTTGAAACCAACTTTAGGCACCATAGAGAAACAAACAAGTCACAAGCCTTAATTGCTTTGACGATCACCTTTCATGGATTAATTCCCAGGACGTGCAACAGATGCTGCACATCCTCCCAGGTGTTTTCACCAGAAGCCTAGAAATTAGCAATGGAAATGACTCCAGGCTGGCTAAATCCTACTTTCTTGATTACTGTGAGCAGGTCCAGTGCCTGCAAAAGGAGCGCTTTGTGAGTACGGGGAGCAGGGTGCAACCCAATGTCACGCAGAGCATCTGTGCAAGAGCCAAGATCGTTCCCCACAGTGCTTTGACTTTCCTACTTTTGAATAACTCCAGCGCGTGGAGCCTTGCTCCCTTCTTGGGTAATTGACCTCATTGTTTGGAAACGTCCCCAGTGCTTTGCCTGGGTATTTATCCTGTACACAGCTCCATCCTGTTATTGCTGATTGCGGATGGAAAAAAACTCTTCCTGTCCTTGAGGCAGAGTTCCCAGGGCTTTTGCAAACTGCTCTCTGCTCATCACACCTTGCCCCAGGAAGATCTAAAGCCCAGTGGCTGCCAGAGAAAGGACAATATGAGGCATCTCACAGGAGGGGGTCTAACCCATCCTCATTTTTTTCCCCCCCCCCGGCAAAAAATTCCCGCAAGCCTTATTTTGCTCTCAGTTATCTCCATGTGCACTGAAGCAACAGAACAAATGACAAAATGCATTTCCTTCTCCATAATCACGCTTCATTTTGCATCATTTGAGCTGAAATAAGTGACTAAACAGCATTTCTGAGAATCTTCCTCCTCCAGGACAGCTTAGTAATGTAAGGCTTACCTCTGCCAAGCCCTTAAGAAAATGCTCAACCCTTAAAAGCACTCCTCAGCCTTATTCTGCTCAAGGAGAAGCCTCGAGCACTTCGCTGAATCACAGCCTCACCATGCAGCGTCTTGCTCACCCGGGGTTTCCCCCAGGCTCGGGCTGGGTTTGGAGCAGGAGCTGCATTTTCCCCACCAGTCAGTGGTAAGGGAAAGCCATCCCTGCTCCCTCCAGGTGACAAAGGGACAATTCCCAAGAGGAGATGCTGCCTGCCTCCCGGGTGAAGCATTCCTGGTCCCAGGTTGTCCAAGTGTTGACTCAACGGACTCCAACCCCAAGGGATTTGTTTGGGCAGTGCCAACACCAATGGTGCAAACCAGATTCTAACTGGGAGCGGATGAAGATCTGCAGATGAGCCTGAAGACAAAACACAGCCCTAATCTCCAGGGCCATTTTACAACCTATTTGAGGCACTCAAACACCTCAAGTGTGTTCAAGCACCTCAACCAGGCAGAGGGCTCTGTCTTACAGGGGATGCAGCAGGAACAGGACTGAAATATCGTATGGAAAAATCTGAGATCTATGTGGCCCCTGTTTGATACAGTTGCTGCTGGTATCCTAATGCTTTCCTTCATCCCACCCCAAACAAGAGACCCATGGCCATCAGCTGCCTTCATCCCACCCCAAACAGGAGACCCA